AGTAATATTTTGCAGAAGAATTCAGAACTAAGTTTATTATATATTGAATTTGGCTATAGCCGATAGTTGAAACTTCATTGAAAGAACAGTGGTCCCGTACTTTTACTTTTATTAGCAAAATATCTCATTAATCGTCATTAAGGGCTTAGACGAGATATTATATATATAATCTTCTGCAAAATATTACTAATATAATAATAATAGTAATAATAATAATAATTTTTTTAAAATATAGTGGATTATATATATAATATCTCGTTCTTCAGCTATATATATAGCTGAGTACAGCGCCAGAACCAATAAAGCGAAAATTAAAACTACCCCCACTATATTTTAAAAAAATTTTTTAAATATATATGAAACTGTGAATTTATGCATAAATATGAAGTGTTGATTAGTTCTCAAATGTTTAGATGTAATGGGAATACTTAAGAAACTTTTTCCGATATTTCATTTAAACTAATCATTAATTCAAATTATATTTTAGCGTAATAAAGATTAAATTGTTTTCTATATATATAGCTGCGACGTGCACTTCATAATGTTGAACAGAAGAGTGAGTTTATGCTTCTCCAACTAAAAAATGTTGTTGAAGATACCGCACCCAATTGCACCAGAAGGGAAGAGTTCATAATTTATTAGCTACTTTTTTCAGGATCAACAAGATTTTCTTAATTCTGAATTTATCAGTAATGATACATTGAAACAGTGGGAACGTCAAAGGCGAAATACTGCTGAAAAGACAATTTTCATCGCTACAAAGATGATTTCAAACGTCATTGAATCAACGTATTCTATATTAGCAAATATTCTGTGAATAAAATAATAAAATTTTCAGTCATGTCAAGTAACTTTTCTGGGGTGCATATTTTTTAGTGTTGTTCATTTGTTAATTTCAATTTAAACTGTAAAAATACACGAGATTTTCTTCACAGTAACCAAAAAACGAGCATCATAAAATTCAAACTGGCTAATTTAAAGGTTGCTATTTTTTTCGACTGTGAATTTTGAATTTGTGTTTTTGATCTCTATGATGATTAAAATTTTGTCTTCAATTAGATCATCAGAAGGATATAAATGGTGTTTGGGGGCGATTCGACAGTCAGTGTATGCCCCTTTGGCAATGGAGATTGAAATGAACAAAATGATTGCATTGCTTAAACAAGGTGACCTGACAAATGCAACGGAAGTTCGTTTTTTAAAACTCATACTAAGATTCAATGTTGAAAAAATCGCACTTTCAAAAAAAATTTAGGTATAATTATGCAAATACTTAAAATAGAGCACCAACAATTGTTCGGCTTATTTTACTGGTTTATATGATTTGATAGATTTTAACTGATATAAAAATTTTAAATGTGCTTAAATGAAACTAATTTGCGAATAATCGAAAAATTTAGATAAATCACTTTCTGACTTCTAGAAATTTCAAAACAGGTCTTAATATCATTCAACAATAAAGAAGGCAAAGTGGCTGGCGTAGCTGCCAATAATCTTGCCGTACTTGATCTTTTGGTAATATTTTACAATAATTAATTTCTACAGTGATTTTTCTAGCTTATTAAACATTAAGAATTATTTCATGTTGTTCACTATTGAATGAAGCTTTGATATAATCTGAAATCATTGTTCGTTACATAACTTTTTCACTGTTAAAATATTCCTTTCCTAAAGTTAAAATCAGTACTAGAAGCAGGAATCTTCTACAAAATTAGAAAATGCCATACAGTATTCTGAACAAGCTCTTTCTATCGATCGGTACAACGCTAATGCATTGGTTAATCGTGGTAATATATTCTTTGTCCTCGGAGACATGGATAAAGCTGTGCACTACTACAGAGAGGCGCTAAGTAACGAAGTATGTGAAGCAAAATATGCCTTATATTTTATCATTAACTCATAATTTATCTCATATAAAACATTTTTAAGAACAGTAGAAGATTTTTAAACTGCAGCACATATGATTTCTTCAAGATTTTTTCTTAGCATAAAACATTTTACAACTGTATTTTAATGATGCAGACTGATCTCAGAGTTAAATAACTTGAAGAGATTTTGAATTTTTCATATTATGAAAATCTAGCTACCAATTAATCACAAACATTTGCTTTTCATTTTTAAAGAGCAACTTTTAACAAATTTGAGGCTTCCTGTTTGCAAGCGTTATATAATTTGGGCTATGTCCAACGATTGCAAGGGAAACTGGAAGCTGCGCTAGAATGTTTTTACAAATTGCATAATATTTTGCTGAATAACGTTGAAGTAGTTTGCCAACTTGCTGCAATGTAAGAACAATCTTGCAGCTAAATAAAATTTTTGACAGCAAAGATTGTTTCAGTTTATTTTTTGCTTATATTTAAGCTACTGACTTTTCCTGGAAAGGCGCAACAAATAGCGTCTTGAATTTTTAAGCATTTGAGTAATGACTTAGCAAAGAATTAAGCACATTACACCATTTGAAAGTATTCAAAGAACTTAATAAAATCTTAATATAATATACAAATATTGTAGATATGAGTCTTTGGAAGATACAGCTCAAGCGATTGAATTGTACAGTCAAGCAAATAATTTGGCTCCAACAGACCCAGCTATATTATCCAAACTGGCCAATATTTATGATGCCGAAGGAGACAAAAGCCAGGCTTCCCAATATTACCATGACGTAAACTTTTCAAACTATTTCAAAGAACAATCTAAAAATCATTTTGTAAAAAAAAATACTTTTTTGAGTGAACAAGGTTTAAAAAACCTATATTAAACTTAATTATGACAAATATTACGTTGTCAGCTCAATGAAAATTGATGGACCAAAGAGACAACCATGCTATTATCTTAAAAAAAATCCGCTTGCTCCGTGCCAAAATGAAAATCCGAAGCCATTACTGAGATACAAATAGTTCATGAGCACTTTAGATAAAAAATACAGCATGACTTCTCTTTACAAAGTGAGCAGCAAATTTTGTATGCCCGAGATGTGGTGTTTTATATGTGGAATGAAGTGGATAACACGGTACATATTTTTGAGAGAAAACCTATGTTAATTGCAGAGTTACCGGTATTTCCCATCAAATATTTCAACAATTGAGTGGCTAGGAGCATATTATATTGATGCTCAATTTCCCGAAAAAGCTGCGAATTACTTTGAAAAAGCTTCAATAATGGAGTAAGCTACTCATTTCGGTCCTTGATGAAATGTAACAGTAATACCTAACCTCGGAAAATTCTGGAAATTATGACGAAATTTATTGTATAAGATATAACTATATATATAAAGAAAGAAATATGGAGGTTAATTTTCGTTTTCGTTTCATTGATTCTGGCGCTTGATCCGATATTTTGGCTATACTTGTTCGGCGCTCAGATTTGTTGTGCTCATCGTTTTCGCTTCGTCCTCGTGGAATTTGTAACGAGTAGAGTAAAGAAGGAGATGCTTTTGAGCGCTTTCTCGCGAACTATCGATTGAATATATGCATTGCTTAGTTAATTAAAATTCGTTACAATCCCATCCTGAGTCATCATATACGGAATATTTTGGTCCTGCATTTCATCTCTGACCCAAGTTTATTAATCACCCATGCACAGGACGAACAACAGCAGAGAAAGGCTATCACTTTGGAGAATTCCTCGTTCTATTTGCCACTTCATTATAATTTTTCCATTGCTTTTAAATGTAACCGACTATCTGGAGGTGATGCTTCTCAGAAACCTGCTGATCCACGATGGCATGTTAAGCCTTTCAATGCACTTAATCAGGTATTTGTGATTAACTGAATCGAACGCTTTTTATGTCACACCAAGTAATGTAAAGCTGGTTCCCGTTCTCTTTGCAAACCGCCAGGTTCACCACTGCTTGTTTCTTCGCATCTTGAACCTGGGTAACAGTTCTAATTAATTGTCTGCAAGCAGCTTCCTCATGGCAACCTCTAACTGCGTGACGCGTGCCACAAATTTCGTTGTTAACTTGTAAAGGTTCGACATACAAGTTATTGGTCTGAAGTTGCTGCCTTTACTTGGGACACCTTTTGGAATCAGGTAGGTAGTGGTTATAGAACCACGGATCCTGTTCCTGCCCATCCAGGCAAATCTTTCTTACTATTTTGTACAGGTGTAGATGCAAGGAGGTGCACTTCTTAATAAAGAAGTTATAAACTCCATCAGGCCCTGCCGCTTTCTAATTGGGCAAATAAGAAACTACCCTCCCAAATTCGGCTTCGGACGGGGAAGTATCTTGCACTTCATGATCTGGAACGAATCCTTCCAGATATTCATTGTGTCGGATATCATCATTCTTTCCATCCCGGAGTTCCACATCGTACCCCCTAAACCCTTGATTTCCTCAGTCCTTAAACTATGACTATCAGGCTGTTCTTTGGTCAGATTTCTATAAAACCGTCTTCTGAACAGCTCGATCTGGCGTTTTGTATTTTGAATGCACATAGGGCCTCATCACTTTTTATTTTACTTTCGTAAACTTCCACACGGTCTGTCAATGTGCTTAACGCTTCATGACAGTCACGTTCAAGAGCAAGTATGAGATTCATCTCCTTCTTACACTTCTAGACCTCTTTTCAGTCTTTGCCTTCGTTTTTCACCTGCCAAAGCTCGTTCTATGAGGGATTTGTGGAAATTGTCTTCATAACATTGCAATATCATCGCTCCAAGTATGTGCTACCTAGAGCTGCATTGCAATATCGGTCATTGACGAGGGTTGCTTAATTCATCGCTCCAAGTATAAGCGGGTCAACATTCGTCGATGTTGGTTTTCGCGTCCACTTTGCTTGGCTCATATCATGATCCCTACGCTTCTTACATCAACAACAGGTGTTTTTCCTCTACATCTAGATGAACCTTGAACTTATGTAGCGTGTTTTGCTCAAAGTGCGTATCTTGTGCTGTGACACGTTTCGCGGACTACCCCAAGAACCCTTTCTGTGGGCACGGATGACCTGCAATACTGTTGATCACAGAATTCGCTTGCTTCTTCAGTTCTTCGAAGATAGTAGCACACAAAAACTTCTCGCAATACAGAAAACGATACAATGGCTATCCCTCTCTCGGCATTTTTCCAAATCGATCCAGGATCGCTTTCAGCACCTCTCCTGGTCCCTTAGTTCGTGGGGTTTCGATTCCACCGACGATCGCTTCAAGCGTGATCATTCTGCTG